GGTAGGAAGGCAGCTGAAAAAAACCCCCTCTGGGGTCCTTGGGTCCTTCCTGGGTCTGTTGTCGCGCAGGCCGGGAGCTCACGCGCAGGCCGGGAGCTCACGCGCACGCCGCCGGGTGATCGCAGACAGGCAGGTACTATGCATAGACTCTTGAAAGACATCCGCATTAGTATTCCTATCCAAAGTCACCTAACTTTGGGCTATAACTCCACCACAGAAGGGTGCAGACAAGGAAGAAAGAGGGGAAGAGGGAAGGCAAAATTTTCAAAGAACGAGCCAGTGCCGTTAGACAGAAGTTTCTTTGTACATGGTAAAATAAGAGACTAAAGTCTCCAGGTGAGCTGTTGAGAGAGTATAATGAGATCTACTGCCTAAAATATTATTGCCAATTTTCACTTTCTGTTTTAAATATAACTGTAGAACAAGATACTGAGTTGCCAGGCTTCGTCCCTTAGTAGTCACATAAAGAAATAATTAAAAAGAATAGGAATTCTAAAAATTTGTGTTGCCCATGATGAAAGCACATTCTATTTCATATTTCCCAAAATGCCACCTCCCATTGAGTTTGGTAGTCAAGAAAAAAGATCCTATTTCACACATTCTCCAGTCATGCCTTAGCTATAGATGTTTTAATAATTTTTTAGTATTTAAAGATGATGCTTTGTACATTAATTAATGAGAATGTAAGTACAGCAACGGTATGAGAATTTCTCTAAAATCTAAGGGAGGGACAGGAGGGAAAGTTATTACTAGTCATTATTCCCACCAAATGCCTTGTGCTTTGCAAACAGTATAATAGAAGAGATGGAGACAGTTATACTGTAGTTATTTTCTTTGGATGTAAATAACATATTATGTTCCTTATTAGGATTTAATTGATTAGGCATAAAGATATCAGCAAGTGACTTCTGCTTTAATTAGATAGGTATTAAGCAGTTTGATAATTTTTATAGTGACAAGCTGTTACATTCACTCATCCATGAACAAAAGTCATATTACAGTTCCTAACCTACTTAAATGGGAAGAGTGTCATTTAGATATTCTACATGGAGAAAAAAATATCTAACTACGGAATGATAATCTGCTAATAAGCTATGTTTAAATTGTAAAGTAAAAACTGTAAATAAACACTAACTGTACACTTATTATCTGCCAGACAATGGGGATTTAAATATCGAGAAAAGCCACTGACCTCGTATTTCATTTTGAAGCTCAAGGCCATGTAAACATGTAATTTCAATAAAGTGAGGAATATATTAATGTAAATATATACAATGCACTGTGAGAACACAAAACGAAGAATCTCCCAGAACACTCTCTGAATTATTGGCTTTAAAGGATGAGAATTTGCCTGGTAACTGTTCCTGCGAAAAGTGTATTTCTGACAGGGGTAAATTATGTACAAAGAAATCCAAAATACTCAGTATAATATGCTAATATAAGTTGAAAGATATCGCCTATAACATTAATAAATTTAAGATAATTTATTGAGCCCAGAATGTACCAGGGTGGGCATCTGGTCACCCGTTTTCAGGATTCTTGGCATATATGTCCTCTTCCCTAACTATATTATGTCTCCCACATTGTGTACATCTCAGTACAGTGTTAACTCCAGGTTCTTATCTTGCTAAGAACAGGCAAATTCTCCGTATCACTAAAACAGAAGACGACGGGGAAAACATGACCTTAGCTTACCCAGTCAGACTGCCTTTCTGGGATTCTTGTATGTGAGAAAGCAGGAAAAGATGTTGAATGTTGATTCATCTCAGAAAGGCATCGAGGCTGGACCTCTCCTGAGGTTCGTACGTCCTGACACCCTTTTACAGTTTGTGACAAACTCTAAACCATGTGGCGTGTCAGGTGACCAAGAAACTATAGCCATTTACTAGAGTAGAGTGAAGAGACTCTCAGAGGAAAAACACGCCTTCCCTGCCACCAAAGCAGTCTGTTCCGCTTGTGCATAGGGAACTCTGGAAAGTGAAAAGAAGAAATATCTCCAGCGCAAGCCCTCAGCAACGAAGGACAAGAGCCCAAGACTCCCGTCCTGCAGTAGGATAGTTATAGGATTCATTCTGGTTGCTTCTCTGAAGCCTTAGCAGAAAAAAAAAAAAAAAGCCACAAATGCAGACCTAAACAGCCACAGCCATGCTTGCTCTGCCTCCTTTGGTTCATTCCAACCATCAGCTCACGCTTGCTTCCGGGGAGCACTGCCCAAACAAACTACCCTGTCTCAGCAGGCTCTGCGTGCAGGAAACGAACACCAAGACACACTCATGGTTCATTTAATCATCACAGTCATCTGATGGGGTAGGTGCTAATATTCCCCAGTGAACAGGCTAACAGAGAAAGGTTAATTTGTTCATCTAATTAGTGGAATAGATGGAAACTGATCCCTAATATTTCTGATTCTAAAATCTAATTATGATGCTAAAGCACCCAAAACTATTAGATAGATGACTATAAGACATTACCTAATACATTAGTCACTTATTGTAAGTTCATGTACTTTATAAGTACATGATATTTAATTTATTTTACTTACTACTTGTACACATCTCCTTTGGTGATGCAACAGAAAAAAAAAAAACTATATTCCTTAGGTTAGATGAGAAGGAAAAAGCCGTGATTACACAAAATTAAGGTAGTTTATTCAATTGCTCAGCTTTTTCTTCCCTTCCAATTAAAACATGTTTTCAAATTCACCAATGAAGACATATTCTTATACTACAAACTAAATCTTTTTTATCTTATATGTTATAGCAGGTAATTGTCGTTTTGTCTTTTGATCTTCCTTTCTATCTTCTTACAGTAATGTACACAACTTTTCCTTGAAAAACCCCTTTGTCTTTCCCATCCATGTGATTTAAGTGGACTTGTCTCCAACTTCAGATCCAGGGTGGGCACTGATCCCAAGCCTGGCCAGGGAGAAAAATGAGACTCTGATTCTGATAGTTTACATTTAGGATTCGTTTTCTTCAGCAACATCAGTAAACACTGGAACCCCCAAGGCTGCCATGAGGGGCGGATCTAACTCCAAAGGTAGTCAGATATGAAGGAAAGGATGGAAGTAACTTTTCTGAATTCCAGAATGGGATAAGCAAGCTCACATTTTCCCCACTGACGTCAGTTTAATTGGGTTTGTGGGTTTATATCACTTGTACTGTTGTTTTAGTCTCTGTAGCCTTTATACAAAATCTGAGACCTGTAAGTGCTTTGAAAGATCACTTTATAAGGCCAGGTAGGTGAGATCTGGATGCTCGCTCCTTATTGCAGTGTCTTAACTCTAGTAATGAGGAGTTTGCAACCCCCAAAGACAGATCGTCTTTAAGGTACTTGAGATTTGTTTAAATTCTTAGTGAAATCTGTATTCCAGCCAAGGGCAAATAATAAATAACATAAATAATAAATCAGTTAATTATAGAGTATGTTAAATGTTAATAAGTGCTATAGAAATAAGGAAATATCAGTCCAAATAAGAGAGACTTAAAGAGAGAGACACAGGTTACCTTATTACCACACTGATATTAGTCAGCTTTCTCATCTCTGAGGAACAATACCCAACATGAACAAATTAAAGGGGCAGAGATTTAGTTTGCTTACAGTTTCCTAGCTTTGTAGTTCATGGTGGGTTGGTTCTAAGGCAGGAATATCATGGTGAAAGGATGTAGTAGAGCAAATCTGCTTACCATAGTTCACGACAGCCAAGAAGGAGATCATGGAAAGAGTGGCAGCACAGGAGGGCCTAGGACCATAGACCCCAAGGACACACCTCCCTGGCCCACCCAGATACACCAGAAAAATGTGCTCCATCAATCCCCGAGGTGGACACCAAAGCCAATCGAGTTGAAACACTGCCCTCACCAACAAAGTCAGGGTGATTTAAAGAGGATAAAGAGCTGGCCAAGAAGACACCTGGGAACTGAGTATTTGGGGCATGGAACACCTAGAGCAAAGACCTAGGCTGAACGAATTCCTGGCATGTTCTAGGCATTGGAAAAAGACCCGAGAAAATGAAGGTGAGGGGACCAAAGAGAGTAGTGGATGAAGTCTGAAAGCCCAAGGAGAACATACGTCATACAAATTTATGTTGTATATTTACTATATACTGCTGTATAACAAGGTGTCCCATGCTTCTCATCTTTAAATAGCAGTAAGAATTTATCATCTCATGTAATTTCTGTGGTTTCAGGATTTGAGAGTGGCCTATCGGTGGATCTGGCTCTGATCTCCCAGAAGGTTGCAGCTACACTACTGAGTGGGGGTGTGGCCATCTGAAGGTCTGACTTGGGGCTAGATGATCCTCTTCCAAAATGATTTATTCTCAAGGCTCCTGGCCCAGGGCCTCAGTTCTTGGCCATGTGGATACCTCATTGGGTTGCTTGAGTGTCCTGAGGAAATGCACCTGCCTTCCTCCAAACCACAGATCCAAGAGAAAAAGGCCAAAGCTAAAACGCAGTTCCTATCTAGCCTCCTCTGAAGGCACACAGCACCCATTCTGCAGCACCTGGTTACTCATACACACCAGGGATATAGAACATAAGAGGGAATTATGACATCAAATGCCAAAAGGTTAGGATCATTTAGGGCTGTATTGGAGAATGGCTACCACAAGCCGTAAGTAGAAATATGGGTTTTGCTATGAGAAAATCAAGAGTCATTATGAAATTTCAAACAGCACAGTGTGTCAGGTACAGGGGCACATTATAATCCCAGCACTTGAGAGGCTGAGGCAGGAGGACTGCCATGACATAGAATCATGAGTCACCAAGACCTTGACTCAAAAAAAAAGTTAAAGAAATAGTGACACAATTTTTATTTTAGCATTATCATCCTGAATGCTGGGTTTTTTTGTTTTTGTTTTGAGGGGGTTTTTTCCCTGCTTTGTTTGGCTAGAGTGCTTTTAATTTCTTTTTTAAGCAATTAAATTAAGCTTATATTGAAGGATCTGGTGGTACATGAATTATAAAGTTCTTGCTTAAGAAAGTAGTGAGTTGAGACCATTATTATTCCCACACAGGCAAGGAAGAAACCATGAGAGAGAGAAAGATAACCAAAAGGAAACTGAGAAAGAGCTCTCGGTAAAGTAAGAGGAATATCAATAAAATATAATAACTGTTATGGCAATGAATAAAATATATCAAGGAAGACTGGTGATTAAAAAGTCATAGATAGGCTAAGATTGAAGCAGAGATCTGATCATGAAATACGGAAATAGGTGAACTTGAGGAAAGCAGTTTTGGTGCTGGTGGTGGCAAAAGCCTGATTGAAGTGGGTTAAAGAAAGAGAATGAAAAGAGGTCAAAGGTGGAGATACAGCTATGGGAAGGCGTTTCAAGCAGTTTTGCTACAAATAGGAACAATGAAATGGGGCAGCAAGCTGCAGAAGCAAGACAGAACCAGGGGAGTTTGGGAGAAGTAACATCATTTTGTATGATGGCATCATAGCGGAGATGGGTGCTATGACAGAGGAGGGAATTCCGCCAGCAGTACAGTGAGAGAAGATAGGGTCCAGAGGGTTGAGCTGAGTTAGAAGGGACTCCCCCCACCCCCCATTATCAGGACCTTGCTTCCTGGCAGGGGCAGAAGTGGCAAATGAGTTGAAGTGACATCAGTAACCTGTGTGATCTATGGCGAATGTTCCAAGTTTCTTATTGGGGATTGAAAAGTGTGTTAGTCAGCTTTCCATCACCATAACAAACACAGAAGATTATTACCTTATAAGGAGAAAAATGTTTATTTTGGCCCATAATTTTTCACATTACAATCCGTAATTTTTGGGCCCTGTGACTCTTGTCCTACGATGAAGCAGCACACCATAGTGGCAGTGTGTATGGAAGCAAAACCATTCACCTAGTGGCAAGAAAATAAAAGAGAGGAAAAAAAAAAGTAAGAGCTGTGATCCTGCTATCCCTCTGGGGGACTCCAGTGGGGGGACTTGAAGACTTCCCCATGGGTGCCACCTCTTAGAGATTCCATCAACTTCTAGTAGCACCGTGGCTTTTAACGCGGTGCTCTGACTGATATTCATGGTCTCAACTATAGCAGAAGCAGAGAAAGGTATTTTAAATCTTTATTCAGAAAATGAGAGGATGAATTTTTAAGCATCTGACAGAACTTCCTTGAAGAATTAAGGGTCCACTTCTAACTTATGGTCAGGGTGGTTGTATATTTTTCTCCAGACCATTTAGCCACAAAGTTGTGGAAGATGTAGGCTAAGATTCAACTAGGGTTGTGGATTTACATAGCAAATAAGACAAAGAGAAGTAAGGAAATGGAGGGCGTTTGCAAGGGAGTGATGATAATTATTAACTATAAAATTGAAATGGGTAAGACAGGAAGTCAATATTAAAAAGGTAGAACCTGTTGGAGCCCTAAGACTAAAGAGAATGAGCCGGGAATTTCGCTCAGTGGTTCCACTGCCTGCTTCACAAGCGCAAGGTCCCAACTTCGATCCCCGGTACCAAAAAAAAAATGACTAAAGAGAATGAGGTGGAAAGGTAAACATCAAAGTCAAAGAAGAGAATGTCTGAAATCTAGATTACGAAGAGGTCTGGGGTAGGGCTGTGACAGAGTGGCTAAATAAGGTAGAGAACAGGAAGAGAGATGGTTAAGGAACTGAGATGCTGGAGTTATAAGGATCATCTATACATCTGTTGAAATCTACCGTAATTAAGAGGGAGTATTAATAGAGAGAGAAGAGTTCATATTCTAAGAAATTAATGGAAATGATATTCCAAGAAATAGTACATGAATTCACAAATGAGATTAACAATGAAGGGCAGAGTTCATATGGTCTGGTAACGCTAGGATTCATGGTTGGGGTTTTTTTTTTTAGGACAAAAATTACGAATAGCCTTAAGGCCGTAATAAGGACCTAAGAGAATACCTGTGACCTCCACATCGATGATGCCAGAGTTGGGAGAGAAAGCAACCACCACTACAGAGGCTGCGGGGAAATGTGTCCTTAGGGAGCAGTCAAATTGGCCTTAGAGCAAGAAGGTGGAAGATGACGGGGATATCATGGCGACTCTGAATTCAGAAAACACAATGGATACGTTTCAGGACTTGGGGAGGGCTTCCTGAAAGGGGTAAGGCAGTGGATTTACACTGGGGTCTCATGCACACCGTCTCTTAGGAACTTCCTGAAAATTCATGTTCTTGAGCCTGACTGCAGCGCTTACTGAATCAGAAATGAATTAAAGACCTATACTCTATGTTTTAACAAAGCCTCCAGGTAAGAACCAATGGAGGAAGGGCAGATTCTCTTTGGTCTTAAAGTTTTTGTAATGGCTGGAAAAAACACGGAAAAAGGACATGTAAAGCCTGGCGTGGTGGCACATGCCTGTAATCCCAGCATTCCATGAGGCTGTGGCAGGAGGATCACAAGTTCAAGCCTAGGCTGGGCAACTCAATGACTTAGCAAGGCCCTGCCTCAAAATTAAAGAGGAAAAAAATGGCTGGGAATATAGGTCAGTGTGGATGCCCTCATTTCAATCCCTAGTACCACAAAAAGAAGAACCAAAAAAGGAGGACATATGGTATTATTCCAGGATTCAAAGCAAATAATGAGGGCACATCCATGAGTGTTGGTTTGGGGAAGGGAAGAGAGTAGGAAGGCATAGGTTTCTGGGGCTGTCTTCATCCTTGGAGGTCAAGAGCATTAATGGCGAACCTCTCTAGAGATGAGTGCTCGAACAGCAGCCCCAAACCCACTTATTTAGTGCAAATTGCTAACATTGCCATTAAACCTGATTACTAGGCTTTAGTTTAGAAAAAAAAAACTGCTATTCAATGCTTAGCTACAGGGGCAACTTGGCTCACATGCTAACAGAGAGGGTCCTTCAGTTCACTGCCACTGGCCCAGACAGTCATAGGTACCAAATGTCCTAATGGCTTTTTGCTTAAAGGGTTACTATGGGTGAATATTTTCACTATACTTACACTTACACTCACCAATATCTCTGTCTGTTTTTGTCTTATTCGACGCTTTCTGTTGTGGTGGTGTTGGTTGTTACGTCATTATTTTGTTATTGTTTGTAACAGAAAGTCATTTAAAAAATATAAATGAATGAAACAGAATTTAAGGATAGAAATATCCCAGAGCAGAAAGCCTAGAGTCTAGTACCAACTAGTAAGAAGGTGTGTGTGTCATCTGTGGGTGTGGAGAAGGAGAGAGAGACAGGCGGAAGGGGAGGGAGAACCTGAGTGGTGTGGGGAGGCGTGGCCAGAGGAAGGAGGCAGGGAGTGGAAAGGAGAGGGAGGGAGAGGCAAGCAAAAGGAAGGAAAGAAAAAGGAAGGGAGAGAGGCAAGGTCAATGACGTAACCCTAACTGACAGAGTTAGGAAGGGGTTGTTTCTCAGAGGTGCACCCTGAGCTGGAACGGGCCTCAAAAGCACCTGCTACTGATATTTTGTTCCAAATTAAAGACATAATATGATTTATGTGGATTAATACCTGGGAACTTTCTTTCAAATCTTAAGTGAGATAGCATTTTCCGAATAAGTTTAAGTTTCTTTCCAAATAGTTTTAAACATAGAGTTTTACAAGTTGGAAAAAAGCTCCTTTTTCTAAGAAAAGTAGTGGCATTTATCCGAAATTATAACATATATACTGCTGCTGCATTCAATGGACTAAGATATTTCATCTCATTGACTTAAATAAGATAGAGCAATCATTTGGTTACTTGTAAGACGGGTTTGTGTGTGTGTATATATTTTGTCTGGTATGTGTGTTCTTTACCAACTTTAGCTGCATTGTAAATTATTTTTATTTCACACTTACATCATCACGCTTATATCTTTCCTGAGTAAACCCTTCAAAATAGATTTTTAGGAAGGCTTTCTACTGCTCAAGCTCCCCAAATATTTAATGGAATCCAATTGTTTCAGCTTCAGTAAGACTTTTCATAATTGGACCAAGTTACATGTCTTTCATAAATCTTCTTTCACAAATATTTTAAAGCAAGAATACAAAAACAAGGAACCCACACAGCTAAAATCAAATCATGCAGACCCAAAACATGGTATGAAAACTAAGCTTTGAAAAGAAACTCTATGACATTAACTGCCTGTGCTTTCTAAGATCTTTTCCTTTCCTGTTGCCTCTCTCCCTGTGTTCTCACCTCATCTGTCCAAATGCCACACTCTCTTTTTTCCTCCTTTTCTTACTTTCATTACTTGTAATGATATTTTCATTTATGTCTCTGGAAAATATTTGAACAGCATTACTAATGTGAGTCACACTCATATGTTTCTGACGAAGACACCATAGCAACTTTCCAATATGTTTAAGCAGAATAGATACTGAATATTCCCCAAATTTTAGAAAATACAAAGTGTACAGCCCCCATTTTTGTCACAATTATTCTTTTCATGAGATGGATAAAGAAAATTTAAAACAGGAATAAAAACTTCAAAACATCCATCCGGTCATGGGATTTTCTTTTCTTCATTCATTTTTTTACACAAATTGAACATGTTTAATTGTCTTCATGATGCTAGACAGAATGGAGATGTAGGTGTTTCTGACATTTTTATTATATTCCAGGTTTAGATAATATTTTTCATCCTATCTATTGGAAAAATCACTTGGTCTTGGGCTATCTAAATTATTTTGTAATCATGTTACCAAGTGTGTAGGGGGGAAAACTATAGGAAATTTCTTAATTCATACTCGTATTCATTTTAAGTACATTTCCATTCTATTCACCATTTTATTGTGCAAGAGCAGTGAGGGACAGAAGGACCGACTCTGATGTGGGAAGAACCGAGTTTTTCTAACTTTTCTGCCAGAGGGCGAGAAGCTGACAGTGAGCCCTTTAGAGTAAACATTCTTTACAAACTTTCAGAATTTTAATGCTTAAAATAAACGCTTCCTATTTAAGTAAGAGTAGTTTTGGTAACTCTTCACATACCTATACACAATCTAACACAGTAACTTTTTTTTTCAAAATCCTGGCTTTATTACAATTTTATCACTTGAATTGTCTCTTCATTCTGCACCCCACAGACCTGAAGCCACAAGAGGTCCAAACCAACAAAGACTATTGTACTGTCCATTGATAGTTTCTTTCTGCAAGATTTGTTTAAACCCGTACCACCAGGAAAATTTTGAAGGAAATCTATGTGTGATTTTATATATATATGTATGTATGTATGTATGTATGTATGTATGTATGTTGAATTGTCTCTTCATTCTGCACCCCACAGACCTGAAGCCACAAGAGGTCCAAACCAACAAAGACTATTGTACTGTCCATTGATAGTTTCTTTCTGCAAGATTTGTTTAAACCCGTACCACCAGGAAAATTTTGAAGGAAATCTATGTGTGATTTTATATATATATGTATGTATGTATGTATGTATGTATGTATGTATGTGTAAAAAAAATAGATAGATATATATATATATATATATATATATATATATATATATATATATCGCCACACTATTTGCTTCCTATACATTAAAGTGTGTCTAAATTCAGAGGAACAAATTTAGAAACAAACAGGTGGGGAGCGAGAGGAGCAAAAAAGAGAAAAAGCAAAATCAAGATGAAGAGAGAAGAAAAGGAATAGGTCTCACTTCTTGGCATCAATAACTTACAGCATTGCTTTAAATGGGAGGAAGAGATTATTGATCCAGGTAGCACAATCATGAAAGAAAAGAAACAAACTCAGTGAGTAAAAGTATTCTATTATCCTAGGAGTTTAGCAAAAGGGGTGAAAAGAAGGAGTAGAGGGAGAGGAATCTGGTGTAAAGAAGAGTAACAAAAACATTATTGAGGGAAAGAAGGAAACAAGATGGCTGCTTCCCTCGCTCACCACATCCGTCATCAAATTCCACCGAGTCTCTGGAGGGACGTTGCTCGTGACTGTCCCAGTCACACTGCCACTTCTCCCTTGAATGGGGCAGCATCACCACCAGGTCACATCCTCTGCCCTGCGCTACGGCAGTCACCTCCCAACCAGGCTCTGACCCACTGCCCCGTCTGTTCTTCCCCTAGAAGCAGCAGCGGCTTTCCAAAACCAATCATCTGGTCTTGTCACCTCCATCCTTTGCCCTCAAGATAAAATTCACAGATTTAAAAAGTCATTTTCCTCCTCCTAGCTTATAAAACTCTGTCCAGTGCGTTTGTTCCCTGCCTTTCCAGCCTTATTTCTCGTGTTGGGTTGGGAGGAGTTCAGAAATATGTATCTTTGTCAATAGTTCTGACACTATTGCATCTCCCGATCCCAATACACACTCCTCACATCTGTCCACCTCTCCACTCCCCTCTCCTCTGGAGGGAATAGCTTCCTACTTCCCCTCTGTTCCCTACCTGCACCTGTCATGTGGTTCTACAACTCCCTAGTCTTCATCCTCAAATGCAATTCCATACGTCAGAGGAAGCGGAGGGTCCTTTGAAAGATTTCTTACGCACAGAATAAAAGTGAATAAATGAGTGGCTGACCCCATGTTCATCAGGAGGTGTCTGATTAGATCCTGCCCCATGGGATGCACATCTGGATGCCGTGCACATCTGGGTGGCATTTATTTCCGCCATCGCCACCACCAGAGCTCAGCCCACTGCTCAGGGCTCGCGTGTTGTTTCCCCGTGAGCTGGGGCAGTTCACCTCACAGAGCCTCTCAGGTACTAAGTGCGCAGACCTCTACCCTTGGCCTGACTACTTGTCTAGGTGTTGAAAAACAGTTTGAGGTAGCACTTGAGACCAAACATGTCATTTTCCTTGTCAAAATGAAAGCTGTACATTTTAAACCTAATGCTTAATGTATCCAGATATTGAACACAGGGACTTTTATCCTCAGCTTAATGGTCTGTCTAAAAACATCATAAAAGATTACTTAAAAACTCTAGGCCTCGGAGGTCCTATAAAATTACATGAAGCACCCCCCCCATCATCTCTTCCAAGTTTTAAAAAATGTACTGGAAAACACGCAATATAGGAACTCCCTTTTTCTTAGCCTTAGCTACTAAGACTATGTGCTTGATTGCTGGGGGGGTGGTTAAGAAAAGCAATAGGATAAGATGAAATTTTATTAGATTACAATCTAAAATTTTAATAGCGCTTCTGCTTCTGGGAATGGATGGCAAACCTTATTCAGCATCTTCTGGAAGGAAGAAAATGTAAAAGCATGGCTTTCCCCTTTAATATAATAGGACAATAAAGACTGGCAGTACTTTTAAAATATTTTAATT